CCCCTACTAGCGGTAGGTCCTTCCATAACCCCCTATGGTCCCCCTCCATTCAACATGGGCAAGAGGGTTTGAGGTGGCTCGTGCTACCGCATTTGTAACACCAGGGTGGTGCATTGCACTTCCCTGCATGATTCTTGGCGCAATTTGAGCATTTCGGCGGCCATACTCTCCATGAGTTGGCCCCATGCCCTTCTGGGCCCTTATTCTTCTTTACCGGTAGTGCCGACGCCCTAAATGAACTTCCACCCCCGGCGTGACGCTTCCAGGAATGGTCTTGGGGTCCAGAGTTTCCCCATCTCCTCTTCTTTGCCTCCTCGACATCTCTGGCCTTCCTTTAATTCCATTGGGTTTCCCCAAGGAGTAATTGATCCACAATTTGGCTAAAGTCATGTGATGATGATATGTAGCCCGATCACGGATGTCTAACTATAGGGCATCCCAAAAATGATTGGCCATACGATTTTCATCCAAAGAGTATTCTGGTATGAATCGTGCCAAGTCCCGGAACCTCTGTTCCAATTTCCTTACTGAGCAACCATCCTCCTGTTTCAAATTCGTGTACTCTCTTCTTTTGAGGTTTATTTCAAATTCAGAGTAGTACTGATTATAGAATTCCACTTCGAATTTCTCCCAAGTGGCTTCGCCACGGAACTTTCCTTCCACGCCTTCCCACCATACAGCAGCTACCCCGTCTAGTATCCTGGTGGCAACCCTCAACTTCACATCGAGTCCGATCTGCATATCCCTAGAAGCATCATTCAGCTTCTTAATCTAGTCGGCGACCTCAGATATGTCGCCCTTGCCATCAAACGATTTGCACCCCAAGGTCCTAGCCTCCTTGAGGTACTTGGAGATACGTACCATCGTGTCTCCTCCGAATGCCCCTGCTGGAGCACTAGAAGCTTCCCGGCTTCCCTGTCCCATGGCTTGCATAGCCTGTCTAGCTTGGCGCCGCTGTTTTCTCTTTGCCTTGTTCTCGAGGTACCATTCTAGTACCTCGCTCATACGGTCGTAATGAGGATCATCATCCTCATCTTCTTCGAAGCCCTCCTTGTTGTACGGGGTCTCCTCTTGCTATGTGCTTGGAGCATAAGTGAAATCGTCCGGTTCGGTGGCCCAAGACGGGTGCACAGAACCGACTCGAGTACTACTTGTCGTCGGCGTCATAGAACGTCCACGACCCCTGCCTCGGCCTCCTCCTCGGCCTTGGCCACGGCCTCTACCCCTATAGGTCCGTGATTCAGCCCGTGTAGCGTGCCCGGTAGCCCCCGATGCACGTCCCGTTGGGTTTCTCCTTGTGATCCTGCGTCCACCCTCCATTTCTGAAAGAAATCAGGAATGAGCCATTAGACTCATTTCAATGTCAATTGACGGAATAATACAAAAGACACAACTTGGTCCAACATTATGGCCAACAAACTATTAAGGGTACCGTCTTAACAATAAGAGGTCAATAACTTGGTTTCCAACAGTTGCTTAGGTACAAAAACTTTCTGCTCGTGGTTTTGTACAAAACTTTTCGATGGTAAGATATTGAGAGGTTAATTATATAGTTTAGAAATCGATGGCTCTGATACCATTTAATTGTCACGCCCTGGACCGCATCCGAGCCACGTACAACACCAAATCTTAATTGTGCTCTAAACGTATACACCATTTAATTGTCAACCCGATAGTAGCAATAAATCTTAAGATGAAAACGATTGAGATTGATAACCTCAACACAAGCGGTTTATTGATTTAATCAATATAATTAATTCTCCTTAGATCATTAACCATGAGACACATGTATTAATAATCCAAGTTTACTACTGTTGAAAGAACCGAATTAATAACAAGCGTATTAATCGATTGATTCTAGTAATAATTAATATATGAAACAAAACTAGTTGATCCTTTAAGTAATGTTCAAAATATTAATATGAAATATGAATTAATTAATATTCAAGGAAGAAGATTAAATCAAATAAATGCTACCATAATTAATGTCGAGATGTTAACTAATTGTCATCTTAGCAACACTCCCCAACATTAATATAGAGATAGATTAAAGGAAGAATTAATATTCAAGGAAGAAGATTAAAGAAAATAACTCACAACTTACAATTCATTAAGCTTCAAAGTAGCAAAACCAAGATGGAAAAGTTTAGCTTCTCATTTGGAGACTAACCATGTTGAAAATATAAGGAAAGAACTTATCTAGACTGAACTTAGAAGTGTATAGGAATTGGTGCCCCTATTGTGAAGGAAAATGAGTGTATTTATAGGATTTTGGGCTGCGGGGTCGTGTACCCGATCAGGTATATATAAGGTACCCGATCGGGTATCTTCAGAAATGTGTACCATATGCATACCCAACCGATTATGGAAAAGAGTTTATAGGCATACCCGATCGGGTGTGTCGGTGTACCCGATCGGGTATGATAACCGATCGTGGCCAAATCTTTCCCTGCACGTCCCTTTGTCTCCTGGATTGATTCGATTGGAAGTCAGGTCGGTACCCGATCGGGTGTGTCGGTATACCCGACCAGGTACATGTCAAAATAAGGATCTTTTCTTCTTGTCTTGTATTCTTGCACCTTCCTTCCTCTTCTGGAGTTCACCAATAATCATTTAATTGATCATAAACCTGTTTTAGCTTAGAATAGACCTAATCTAAACAAATTACAAATATTTCATAAACATAACTACAACACCAGAAGTGTGTAATTTCCAAAGTATCAAACAACAAACTTAACTAAAAACACAAGCATACATATGGAAATTACACATGTATCACCTTTGTACCTCGACGTGCGACTTCAAGTACATAGGCGCTTCGGAATGGACGATCCACCACAACCAAACTTGCCATATCTTCACGCACGTCATGATATGTCACGGCCTCGATATCTTCCTTTTCCTGGTGTATCACGCACATCCAAGTAAGGGTAAGTAACCTGGTCTGGCGTATGAGGCACATCTAAGTATAGATGAGTAAGTTGGTCTGGCGTATCAGGCACATTCGAGTTGTAGTTTGATCCGACATATCAGGCACGTGTGAGAATCCAATGTCTCGGAAGGGACTTCCACCTGGACTATGATGATAGTGTGTGAGAAGAGAGAGTAAGGAGATTAATGGAAGAAGTAGTGAGAAGACATTGATGATGAAAATAGGTTCATTGGTAGAGAAGTAAATGGGTAGCGGTACGGGTGGGGAATTAATGAGGAGTGTAATTATGGCAGTGAGTGTGGAATAAAATGGGTTGAATTAAAGGAGAGTAAGTTAGGGTAAAACAAGTGAGGGTATAAATGTATTCGTACAACAAAATGTCACTAAAAATAGAAGGTAGACGACTATTAAAGAACAACCCAAAATGGAATATTTGTTCCACCGGAGTCCGGAAAACTATATAACAACAAAACATTATATAAGACTTTGACTTATTCCTTCTATCAGGTTGACCATTTATAGCTTTCTGATGTGGGACAAATACTTAAACACGCCCCCTCAGCCCGAATCAGACTGGGTATCGAAGCGTATAAATGAACTAAACAGACCATTAACAAGCTACCATTAATCATGAGTTCTAAACAAATCAGACAAATCACAATCGAACTTTGCTAAGACAAATCATGCATTTTGATATAAAGTTTATGTGTTATTGGTATAAAATATATGTATTTTAGGTCCATTGATTATAATAAAAGGCTTAAATATGGGTCTACATCAATTATACACAATCATTTGTATATGAGTAACAAACATAGGGAAAAATACTTAAAACACTCCAAACTTTGAAGGGGTGTGAGGTAAACATTCCAAACTTGCATATGTAATTTAAATACCTCAAACTTTATAAGAAAAGTTATTTTAACACCATAGTCATGTATTATTTGTTTCAAAAATGTTAATTTTTTCAGTAAATTTCATAATTTAAAATATTTTAGCATTCATGAAGATACAATCAACATTCTAAATAAACTTCCATTGTAAAATAAATAATTTTACCCCCACTTTATATGATTGTAGCGTTTTTAATTTGTTATTTTAAATTATGCTATTAACACCATAAATTTACATTTTTGAAAGAAATAATACATGATCATAGTGCAAAAATACACCCGATAGATAGATACATTATCAATCCAAGACCTGAAAGATGATATGCATCGGTATTGGACTCAAATGATGGGAAATTATCAATCTATGACGTAACATTTCATAGATTTTGATTCTTTTAATTTTTTGTTAATTCCATTGCTAGTTTTTGATAATCTTGCCTTTACAAAAATTTATTAGTTTAATAGTATAATACAACTTAGATCCTAGATCGATAATTTTAAATCATCCAGGTTCTATATCGATACATTTCGATCCTATTTGGTAATAGCCAAATCGGTTGTATTGCTGATTCTGCTCAAATTTATGAAGTTCTGGCTGATGCGGCTGTATTGACTGATTCTGCTGATTTGTGAAAAATAATAATTTAAAATACATTTTATTAATAAAATAAAGAAAAAATAAATGAAAAATAGTTAAAATGACCTTCTACAGTAACTTCAGTCAATACAGCTATAAAAGTAACTCTAACTTTACTTTTTCTTATTATTACACAATTCAGTCCGTAAAGCAAAAAATTACGTGTTTGGTGAAAACATTGGCTTATAGGCCTTAAAAGCCAAAAATCATGACTACCAAACGGGCACGAAGTGCCCGTTTTGGGCCCGGATTGATAAAATTCATCTATCTTTCGGATCGTGAATTGATAAAATTTCTAACTTTTTATATAACGTTCGTATTATTTGAATTACATATGAAAGTTTGGACTGTTTATCTCACACTCCTTTAAAATTTGATGTATTTTAATTATTTTTCTCATAAATATATTACTAGTTCAACTGTATAATTTAAAGATATTTATCATATTTATATTTATAGATGTCATTATTAGCTGACAAATTTAAATTCAATAACCTCATATTGTTGGCACTAAAAGGGAAAATTTGAACGAAAACCAAAGATGGCGGCAATAACTTGCACCAATTTCAAGGAGTAAGCAGTTAGGGTTTACTCTCAGTAGTATTCTCCGCCTCCGTTCGCCGCCCAAAATGTTCGGAGCACAGCCGTCGCCTTCTCCCTTCGCCACTCCATCTTCCACCCCAACCTTTGGAGCACCTTCGTCGACGCCAGCCTTTGGTACGCCTTCCTCTACCCCAGCCTTCGGGACCCCTTCCTCCACTCCTGGCTTTGGCACGCCTTCCACTCCCGCATTCGGAACCTCCCTATTCTCAAGTCCGTTCTCTCAACAGTCGCAACCTCAGCAGCAAAGTTCTTTATTTCAGACTCCTCAGAGCTCTAGCACATTCAATTTTTTCACTCCTTTCGGGGCATCCCAGCCTCAGCAGACTCAGACCGCTTCACCTTTTGGCCAGCAGGCCGCATCACCATTTGCAAATGCTCAATTGACCACTCAGATGGCGCCTGTCGCCCCCCTACCGTTTTCTCTTGCTGATCGCGATATTCAGGTACAAATTAAGAATTTCAAAATTTGGATGATCCCTAACTTTCGAATTTTGCTATCTGTCCATTTTACCATGGAACCGATGGACGATTTTATGGCTAATGAAAAGTTGCATTGTGAGTACTTTTCAGGCAATTGTTGATGCTTACAAGGAGGAACCTGGGAACCCCAAGTTTGTGTTTAAGGTTTGCTTCTTTCCAAAAGCATTTCTCTATCTTGAAGAGATACTGTAAGATTGGTTAAGATTGTTATTAAACAACAAAGTAGGAATCTCACAACATGCATAATAAATGAGTGTAACAACTTTCCATTCATCAGTAAAAAGTAAAACTACCAAACAACAAGCCACTGATCAAGCCACTGTTCAGTAAATCAGCATCTTTCTAAATTTTAACTCATGTATGTTCCAGGTGTATCATTACATGTTCATACCTCACTTTTGGGATACATATTTCTTATAAATTATCACTAACCTATTATCACGTATTCATGTAAAATACATGGTCACTTTGCAGCATCTATTGTTCAGTGTGACTGAACCTCAGCAAAGAGTGAAGCCTGCTGGTGTATCCGATGTGAGTGAAACACAGCTAAATCCTTTATTCTATTGGGAACTTTTTGGTATTTTATATTTTAATGTGTTCCATTATATGAAATAGTTTTGGTTCACAGATTATGTGGGCAGAGGCAATGGGGAAACTTGAAGGGATGGAGACTTCAAATCGTGAACGCCTATGGCCTCAGCTCATCCAAGGATTCAAGGATCTTTCCCAGCGTCTCAAGGTACTTTAATAGTTCTGATTAGATTATTGTTTTCCATTTTCATGCTGCCCACCCACCACCTCCATTTCCATTCTATTGTTGTTTCTCAGGTGGTGGCGATCTCAAATGCTGCCTAGACCGCTAGATTTCTTCCTGGGTGGTGCTAGGAACCAATTAGACGGTTAGGAGGTAGTTAGTTGCTATCTGATATTTCAGTGTCTTCTAGTTAGCAAGGTTTAAAAAGGCGGGTTCGGGTACCAACTACCAAGGCGGTTTGTTCCTAAGAGGCGAGGCGTAAGCCTCAAAATATATAGACATAAAAAACTTAAAATAGTTAAACTAGTAGCAAATAACTGAAGAAATAAAGGATATATCCATAATTATAAGTCCAAAAAGTGTGAACACAAATACACATGAGCTAATACGAGTAGAATTCATACACACAGAGAAACATCACACACAAACAGACATATCACACACAGAAATATCACACACAAACTCAAAGATGAATAGGAAGTATACGTTAAGGACTTCGGGTTTAAATGAATAAAAGACTTGTTAGGGTTTAAATAAAATAAGACTTGTCAGGGTTTAATGTGGCCACATGTTTAATTAATGGACCTCTATTTAAAAAGTACTCTGGGCCTTTTATTAAATGAAATGCCTTGGGCCTTTTTTTTTGAGTTATTGCACATTAAAACAGAGAAACAAGGGAAAAATGCCTCAAAAAATGCCTCAGGGCGTGCCTCAAGGCGTACGCCTCAACTTTTGAGGCGTGAGCCTCTTAACCTGCGAAAAAACTTAAAAACCTAAACCCTGAAACCCAATTTGTTCGCCTCACCTTGAGGTGTGCCTCAAAACCTGCCTCTTACGCGCCTTTTTAAACCATGCTAGTTAGAGTGGTTCCCTATACTATTATGACTCAAACACATGACATATCATGTGATTCTTTGAAGCTATTGCAATCTGAACTACAGTTTATTGGTGTTAGGCCGTTTGTTATTTTGAAATCTTTTACTTTTAAATAAATTTAGGATCAAATTGACGACTCTTTTGTTAGATGTCATTGCGACATGCATCATGTGTAGAATATTTGTTGTCTTGAACTCTTCAATATTGAAGTTTATTTTTTAAGTTGTACTGGATTATCTCCATAATACTGAGTTTGTTACAACAACAACAACATCCAAGCCTTAGTCCCAAAAGATATTGGGTTCGGCTAACATGAATCGATACATGATATCACAACCAAAGGGGAAAGAAGGAATAAAGATAAAAAGATAAGCTATTATGAAAAGATAATATAAAAAAGATGAATATATATAAAAATGATAAAATAAAAAGGCTGCAAATAATGCATATATATATAAGGATAAAAAAATTAGGAAAAAAAAAGATGAGGGAAAAAGATTATCAAGATCACTCCTTCACTTGAATACTCGCCCTCCACTTAGTTCTCTCCAAAGTCATGCCCTCATCCAACCCCAGAAGAAGCATATCACTTCGAACTCCCCTAACCCACGTCTGTTTGGGTCTTCCTCTCCCTCTCTTCCCTGCCTCTTCTCCACACATCTCAACTCGCCTAACAGGTGCATCACTCGGTCTTCTACGCACATGACCAAACCACCGTAGGCGCGACTCCCGTATCTTGTCTTCAATAGGTGCTACTCCCACCCTTTGTCTGATTGTCTCATTCCTCACGCGGTCCTTCCTAGTATGCCCACACATCCAACGCAGCATGCGCATCTTTGCCACACTCATCTTTTGAATGTGACATTGTTTCACCGCCCAACACTCTACGCCATACAGTAATGCAGGCCTAATTTCATCTGAGTTTGTTAGTAAAACAAAAATAAAAAGTATACACGTTAACTCAAGTGTTGGAAATAACACAACGTATAAAGGATTTGGAGAAAATATGAATAAAATCTCTATACTTGTAAGACCGCCCTAGGCCTCTATCAGTCACTGCCTATGCTCCTGTAGGCATTAGCCTCTTGTCTGTCACCCACTAGCGTTTAACACCTAGTGCTTTTTAGGACACATTCACACGTATTGTCGTATTGATTGAGGACTCTAATTGCATGTATGTTATTCATGATGACGTACTATCCCAATCACTTTGGTTAATTGTAGAAGACATTTCCTCAGACACAGTTACAAAATCAAGGTGCTAAGGTGAAGACCAATTTACTGCAAATTTAAGATTATTATGTTACATTTAGTTTGGTGATCTGGAATACCTTTACTTCTTTTAGACACTTGTTTGCTGGAAAGCAATGTTCTAAAAGGCAGTGTAGGCACCTAATTAGTTAACCTAGGTGTTCTATAGCACGGATTCGTGTGGCGTAGAGTTTCTGTGCACATATTTAAGTTGCTTTGATTAGTTGAACCAATCACGAGTCTGTGAGCCTGTGACACTGTACTTACAAGCAAATTTTACGAGGAACTAGTGACACAAACAAGACAAAACTCAAATTTGCATCCACATTATTTGCCCAATCCGATGGTCAAATTCAAATGTACGTCCTGCAGTCCTAGATGAACTATCGAGATGTATCTTCATTGTTTGGTGGTAGATCACCGTCAGCACTAGCTAGATGCATATATATGATATATCTTCCTTGCATAGAGTACTGCAGTACTGCTAGTCTGCTACACCATGTCACCCCATGCATCTTTCCGTGCAATTATATTTAAAATAGTATATTATCAGTTTCCATTTTTCATAGGAACCTAGATCATGAAACTGGCTATGGATTGGAGTTAGTTTGTAGTTTGTACAAACTCGGGATGAGAACTTTTAAGATCCCCGAGTTGACCTGTTGTATAACCACATTACAAGTACTGTTGAGACAGGCCAATGTGTTTGGATAAAGCTACAGTTATACAATCAATGTTCCATTTCACGCTGAACACTCATTAGGCCGCTTTCATTTTTATGGCTCATCATGTGTCTTGAAGCAAACTGGGAAGGTAGCTTATGAAATTGACTTCCAACCAATTTCTCAAGAGCATTGTATATTTCTATCTCCATGTGTCTGAGTGATTATCCAACAACTGCAATGAAGCACAGAAGCTCACAAGAAAGATTACATTTCTATTTCGGAAACCCTTCAGAAACTATTTAGAAATTATCCAGGCACTTGTTTCTATTAAAAGACGGAAATTCCTGTTTCTCCGTTATTCCAACGTTCGCTTTCACCATAGAAAACAGTTTCCTCATTACAGCCCCCATGGATGATGTTTGCATCTATGACTGGCTATTGTTCTTCTAGGTTTAATAGGCAATGGTGAACTTCTCGTGGGTTGGCAAGCTGTTACAGAAAGGTGTATCACGGGAGGTGCTGGGCAATTCTAGACCTGCTAATTACACTTGATGCATGAAGACAAGCATCATGTCCCAGAGGGGCCTGCATTCCTATTGCACTTACAAATGCAAGGCATGCAGCTGAAGATTGATATATTAGGATTAATCTATTATACATAATTTTTTGAATCAGATTACTTTCATCTGTCTATGAATATGTAGTGGTGTGTTTTTGTCATTCTCTGGTGTCCTGCCTAGTATAGGGAAGACAATGAGAGAGGTGGTCTGCTCATTCGAAACAATCTGCCCAGGATTTGAACTTTGTTGTTGGATGGCATAGCTGAGGAAGTACACACAAGATTGGGAACTTTCTAAAAATGATGGTAAGTCGTCACTGGAAAGATTCAGCAGTTTGGGTAAAATGGAGAAGCCCCTAACTTGAGTGTGGGGCCGTGGCTCATGAGGGCCCATGAAGTGAGACTACAGTTGGATGCCTTTGAGGTGGCGGGTGGAACAAGAGTTCCAGTGGCTATTGGATAAAGTGTTGCTACTTTATTTTATGTACTGAATCTGATTATCATGTTAATCTCACAATCTAATGCATGTCGAAAAAGGAATTGAATCAATAAATTGATTGATTTATGGTTTGTTACTGCATAATCTGATTTTTTTGCTAAACTTGATTTTTCTTCTAAATCTGAACAGTGATATGAGTTCAACAGCCATAGTTCAAAGCCCCTGCTTTAATGCCAAACAGAGTTTACTAGTTTAGTATCACTGTAGAAGATTTTTTTCTAAGACACGCATACCCAGATTTCTGATTAATAGAGATTCCCAAGTCTATGCTAACGATATTTGATATTAATAATTACATTTTCCAACATGATCCAATTTAAATAATTTGCAACTCCATCCCATATATTTATTAGTTTGAATCATAACTACTGCCACTTTCTTTGTGGGGCATTACTTCTTGCAACTGATGTTTCTAATTTTTGGCTTTATGCAGCTTCAAGATGAAGTCATTATATCGGATGCAGAGAGGCTAAAGTTGACACAGAGCAATGTTAAAATGGTTTTTCTCTCATTTACACACAGAAACGTGCATGATTGTAGTTGTTTGTATTCAGGACTTTAATTCATTTCTAAGCATTTGATTTTGCAGCTTCAAAGACATTTTCAAGCTGACACCCTTCCTTGGATTGAGAGGATGAGGCAAAAAGAGCAAGGTCTTCAAAGACGACTTTTAAGGGTGAGCTATATTATTGCGACCTAATTTTGAAAAGTCTCTTGCCTCGCTAATTCAAATTTCTCCATTGGTTGGGATGCAACAATAACTGTCACATTTGATGGTTAGTTCACTTAGTTTTCTTCTTTTCTATTTTATCCTACTGCAGAACGGTGGTGCCCTTGGGTAGTTTTCATGGTGTCTTATAACTGACCTATATTTAGCACTTTTGTAAACTGGGAAACCATAACCACCTATAAATTCTAAAATGCCAGGTGGTTCAGTTTTTTCTGTTTTTGCTGGTATCCTGGACGTTTGAGAAGTTAATATATGTTAGTCAGAATCGCGGTCTGGGCCGTACGACTGTGCCATTATACGATCCTTACTACCTCCTGCGATCCGTTGTTTACTGAATATTGCCAAATGAATAGGATCAGCTGGATCGCCGGGCAGAATCACAAATTTTGTTGAAGAGCTACTGAATCGTGACTCATTAGCTATAGTTGTCGGGAAACGTGAGAAACTTCCCACTTTAGGAACTGTCGACTTCCATCTTCTAAGTCAACCTCCTTCTATCGTTCTACGTTGAGTCGTTGACCTGCAGGGCTGCACCACATCGACCTCCTGTGCCGCTCTTGTAGTCTCCATCCTTATCTTCTGCGTCGACCTCCAGCAGTTATATTATTTTAGTCATGCACTTGCGCCACATCTCTATCTTTTGTTGATAAATATAATGCTTTAGTTTTTTCTTACGAGTATATTATTACTTTAACTTATGACTTTACTATTTTTCTGCATTAATTTAGGACTCTATATTCTATAGATTCAAGTCTTACACACCTAATACCTAATTGATTTATGGCTTATACTCTTACTATATTAGTATATGACTCATGTTTTACCTATTTAAGTCTTATACCTAAATTATTTTGTATTATGTTCTAAAACTCTTGCTGACTGTTATTTATGAATAATATTTAGTATCTTCTTCTAATTAAAACTGTATGTGTGTGTATGGTAGGATCTTCCTATCCTACGATTTACAATCTTTAGACCCCCTGCGTATCCTATGTAGGATCTCAAGTTTGACTACCATGAGTGAAGTTTTTTATTGTAACAGGCTTTATATTAAGATACTGGTAACTCGTAGACACATCTGCATAGATACTTCAAATCCCATCACAAGCCCTAGGAGTAAACATGAAGTCATTCACCAATAAAAAATGAATTGATTCGCTGACCTGGAGACAGACAACATTAAGCTTACTGTGATCAAGTTATTGTTATTATGTCCCAACTCACCTTGCCCCTGAAACACGAAGTCACTAACCATCACAATAAAACACATCCCATGATTCAGAATAAAAAAAATCAAAAGTAAAAACCCCACACATTCTGATAAATAAAAGAGAAATGTGTTTGTACCCGCACGGGTAGCTCAGTTGGTTCAGTGGTGGGAAATTTGGACCAAGTGACCAAGGTTCGAAACCCGCAGCGGCCGTGTGGAGGTCACAGAACCTGAAATAAGGCTGGGCCTCTGGTGCGCACGGGAAAAAGGCCTACCATCATTGGGCCGACTGAGTCACCGTGATTAACATCCTCCCAAAAATCCTGTCGGGTCGGGGTATGGGGGGCTCCTGGGGTGGGAGATTCCACCTTTTGGACCAAGAGAAATGTGTTTGTAAAAACTACAGTTTCTTAAAAAAATCTGACACGTTCTTTTAAAAGTACTACTTGATGTTACTAGTCACGTAAAATATAATAGAAAAAGTTAAAAGAAATTTTAAGCATCCTAAACTCTAATTACCACTTTTAATTTTGACCTGTTTAAATTTAAGCAAAGCGATTTTGAAAATACTACTTTTAGCTTTTTGAAGTGAAAAGAAAATAGTTGTTTAGGCAATGCGAAACACTCTAGTACTCCTTTTGTTCGATACTTTCATGCTTTTTAATCCTAAAATATGAATTCTTTCCTAATTTGAACTTTACTAACCTTTAATTTTTCCACTATCCTTTTACCATCCATTTCACCTTTTATTTTTTCTAGATACACTACTTTATCTTCCATCGAAAAGGTTAAAATGTTAAAATAACATTTCTTTCCTAATAACTCTAATTTCCTTTATTATTTTAAAACTCGTTTCACACCCAAATGTATCTTATGTTTTGAGATGGAGGGAGTAATGCTTTTATTGGTTGAAATGCAAATTATATCTCATTCATGTTCTTATATCGTAGTTTGCAATACAATATTGCATTTAGTTTCTTTTATATTCAGATCATGAAACATATCTAATATAAATTGCCAAATGAAAAGTAATAGTTACTATAATAAAACAAATGTACTTCGTTTAACTAGGACAAAAGTATTATATAATTTTGCATCACATTTATTTGTATACTAACTATGTAGTCCATATGATATAAATGCCCCCTACTCTGCAGAGCAGATTGTCTTGGACATCACCGTATTACACAATCTTCCTTAAATAACTTTCTACTTAAGATTTGAAACAAAGTAATTTCCTACATTTAATTCCTCTCTCCCATGCCCCAACTTTAAAGGTAATGAGAATAATAGAGGCACTGGAAGGTAAAGGTTGTCGATTACCTCTGATGAAAGGTGAAGCTGATTTGGCAGAGAGGTTGGCCATGACAACTAGACAGGTTTTTATTCTTCCTATAATGATGTAAAAATGTGTTCCTCATTTTCTGTAGCTGGAAATCTAATGAGTTGTGCAACTTACAGCTAAAAGGACCAGGAGCAGAACTTTCTCGGAGGGTTCAAAATCTTCTCACAGTTTGCCGTGTTCAAGATGGCATTGGCAGCGCTTCCTTTTATCTTCCAGGATCAACTAAAATACATGAACAAAGTCTCGTTGATATGCAGGAGGTACAACAAATTATCATTTTTTGCAATTAACTTTCCCGTTTGGATCTATTAAAAGCGTTCTACGGAGTAATAAAAATGCATTTACTAAAAGATGTAATTAAACGCTTAGCAATGCATTTACAAGTTTGGTTTTGGCTAGTATTTCCGAAAAAAGTTGATCCTTTTAGAAGAAACTCCTATTAAATGCTTCTTTTAAAATCAATTAGGCCTCCTTGAAATGATTTCACATTTGGAACAGAAGTATTGGGAGTTAGATAATGAAATGAGATGACTTATGATGCCTCCAATTTCAAGAATTGAGACAACCTGGGAATGATATAATTCCTGGGTATTTTGAACCCAAACGATGACCCCCACTATTGTGATTATAGTTCACCAGAATTGGTAGCCAAACAATCAAGGGGCATGTGTGGTTTTCTATTTTTTAACTTTTAAATGCACTTCAAAAACCGCAATCCAGTACATCACTGCAAGTTGATCCACTATTGTGTTTTTCTTTTACTGTTTTGTGTCCCCAGGTTTTGCAACAACAAACGGAGGCCATTGCTAGGCTTGGGAATGTGCTGAAGCGCGATCTAAGGGATATGGAGATCATAATGACTGAAGACAAAGGAATGATAGAAGATTAATACAATGTTCCTCTCTTTGTTTTGGATCTTGATATTTAAAAACTATAGTTTGTTATGGATTGTGTAAAATAATAGTCTGTTTGGTGAAGGCAATGCAAGATAAAGATGAATTTATATGCGAACCAATTTATGTATTTAACCTAGGGATGGAGCGGGCCCCAGACCGGGATTTGGTTGGGACTGGATTTTGGGAGGAAGGCCCGGTACCGGCCCGGGTTGAAAACGGGGCCGGGTGCCCGGGTCAGATCGGGTCAGTTTTTTTAAAAAAATGTTTAAAGTAGGGGTGTGCGTGGTCCGGTTCGGTCCAATATTTTACCGAACCCGTAACCGGACTGTTACTATTGAAATGGTTCAGTTCGGTCTTAGACCTAAACCCGTTCGGTTTGGTTCCATTTTCAAACAGTTCGGTATCATGTCATACCAATGCCAAACAATGCCACTTTTTTCGATAAATTAAAACTTAGTCATCATCCAAAAATCTACACAATTATCAATTTTCATACTACATCCGTCCTAAAAAACTTTGTCATTTCAAAAAATTTGAACCATGATTTTGATTAGTATAGAGTATTATGGAAGATATAGATTTTATATTTTTATGAAAGTATTTTTAACAAAGAATATTTTCATATAATTTTTATATTATAAATAATTCTCAATAAAAAAATATAATTGGTCAAAGTTTTGAAAATGGAAAAGTTTTTGGGACAAAGGTAGTATTACACAATTAACGAATTTCTTATAAACTATAATAGTACAAAACACAAATAACTAGCAATAACATAGTTAATGAATTTCATGTAATACTATTCATTTTTACCGATCCGGTTAACTAGCAATTAACAAAGTGCAAATGAGTAATCAAAGTAATTAATGGTAATATGGTATACATGTATATATAATTATAAAATTATATAAATAAATAAAATTATAATTTGGTTCGGTTTGGTCCGGTACCGGTTCTCATTTTATGAGAACCCGTCATGGCATGGTTTGGAGTCGGTCTGGTCTGGTTTGGGACAAAATTTTTGAGAACCGTTTGAAATCCAGTTTTCCGGTCCGATACCATACCGGTCCGGTTCGGTACCATGCCGGTTCAGTTATTTTTCCCACCCCTAATTTAAAATGATAAAAATTAAAAAAGAAAAGAAAAAAAGGCCTAGACCGGGTCACCAAATCGCAGTCCCGTAGCCTGCCCCATATCCCTGTTTCGGGCCTCATGGACCGGTACTGGTTAGGGATGCACCCAACCGGGCCGGCCTGCTACTGTGCGGGCCCGGACCGGACCAGGCCCGGATGGCTGGATCCGGGCTTAGTTCGTTTTGGGCGGTTCTGGCGGGCCGGTTCCGGGCCATGATTTTCATGAACCGGCCTGGGCGGTTCGGGCCGGGCCGGGTTCAATTTTTTTTTCATTTTTTTTCTTTTCCTTGGGTAGGGCTGGGTGTTTTGGGCGGGTTTTGGGGGTGGGGGGTGAGGGAGAGGGTCGGGGGTTAATTAGAAAGCAAAAAAAAAAATTACATAGAACCGGGTCCAGTCCGGTTTGGCCTGAACCCGGTATCAACCCGGGCCGGTTCTGAGCCCAACATTCTGAAAAAAAGCCCGCCCGGGCCCAGGCCCGGACCAAGACCACCCCTAGTGCCGATCCCGGCAGGTGGTCCAGTTCGATACTAAACAGTAGCGGGCTGGTCGGGTCAACGGGCTGGTCGAACTGGGCCCAGTCCATCCCTAAATTTAAGCTCTTCATTTGAACTAATGAAGTGGTTGGTTCAAAAGGCTTACTCTTGTTTTAAACTACAAAAAGATTGTTTCTAAATGACATGATAAAAATCATGTTAAAAATGGCATAATATGGATATTTAATCCTCTATATATGCATTTTAAAAACTGAAAGTGCTGTTTTAAAGTTTGTATTATGCTCTAGACTCTTAGTTTTTTTTTTGGTTTCATACTTTCATCAATGTCCTGGTTAATTCCCGCCAAATGTCATCTCGCACTTATTAGAGCATTGTTAAGCCCTATAATCCTATCCCGTAAAGAGAATCATGTAAACATTGTAAAAGAACTCGCATTTCATAAAGTGAAACTAGTCTGTTAGGCGCTTGCACAATTTTTCAAAAGACGTGTTTGTAATATCCATATGACAATAGCTTCTTTAGTTCTTTCTCAGCCAGAAAATAAAGATGTTCATCTCCAAACACTTTAATGTGGTCTTCATGCGTATAAATGTTTAATATGGAGTACATCTAAGTAGGGTTGGATTCGGTTCGGGCCACCCGGCCCGTGACCCGGCCCGGCCCGGTACTGTGCGGGCCCGGGACCGGCCCGGTCGGGCGGTACGGGACCGGGTATGGACCCGAACCGGTGGGAATGGGCGGGGCGGGCTCGGTGCTGGATTAATGTGACCCGGCCCGGCCGGGTCAGGCCCGGGCCCGGGTCCGGTCTTGTTTAATTTTTTTTTTGTTTGGGCTCTTGGGCTACTAGCCGTTGGGGGTGGGGCTGGGGACAACCCAAACGGCTATATAGCCGTTGGGTGGAATAAAGGGGGGTCCGGGGGGGTTGGCTGGTGGGGGGGGGGGGGGTGGTGGGTAAAAAAACCTATAAATACTTCTAATCTTAAACATTTTTTCATATCTCTTCTCCAATTCTTCCTAAATCCTATTCTTAACTCTCTACTCTCTAATTCTCTTATTCTCCATTCTCCAATATATTATATTTATTATTTATAGTTTATATTAATTATCTACTTATATAAACTATAAATAGATATAAATAGTATTATATTACTTATATTTGTTATCTAATTATATATTACTTATATATTTATTATATCTATTAATATAGTTGGAATTATATCTAGTTAATTTGAAGTCATTCTATTACTCCCATCCGAAAGACCGAAAGTCCGAAAGAGGTACGAAATTATTCTATTATTTACACTTGTTTAATTACTAGTTAATTTGCTACATTTGACTCTTGTTTAATAGTTAGATAAATAGTTAATTAGTTTTTTACAATTTTTTATTAATTGTTACATTTGACTCTAGTTTAAAAAATATGTTGTACACAAAACTAGTTAATTCACTACTTAATTTGCTATAACTCGAATTAATAGTTAGATAAATAGTTAATTAGTTTTTTACAATTTTTTATTAATTGCTACATTTGACTCTAGTTTAAAAAATATGTTGTACACAAAACTAGTTAATTCACTACTTAATTTGCTATAACTCGAATTAATAGTTAGATAAATAGTTAATTAGTTTTTTTACAATTTTTTATTAATTGCTACATTTGACTCTAGTTTAAAAAATATGTTGTACACAAAACTAGTTAATTCACTACTTAATTTTCTATAACTCGAATTAATAGTTAGATAAATAGTTAATTAGTTTTTTACAATTTTTTATTAATTGCTACATTTGACTCTAGTTTAAAAAACATGTTGTACACAAAACTAGTTAATTCACTACTTAATTTGCTATAACTCGATTTAATAGTTAGATAAATAGTTAATTAGTTTTTTACAATTTTTTATTAATGGTTACATTTGACTCTAGTTTAAAAAATATGTTGCACACAAAACTAGTTAATTCACTACTTAATTTGCTATAACTCGATTTAATAGTTACATAAATAGTTAATTAGTTTTTTACAATTTTTTATTAATCGCTACATTTTTTAGATGGATCGTCCTAGATATTCGGTTGAATTTAATGATCGTCACACCGCTGAACATATTTATATTTTGATTGAACGTATTTTAATTGAGTATAATTTAATTGATAAGGTGTTTGCTATTGGTTTTGATAATGCTACTAATAATACTGCTGCTATTCCTAGATTGCGTGAATTGTGTGGTTCTACTTCTTTGATGGGTAGATTTTTTCATCAACGATGTGCATGTCATGTTCTAAATTTATGTGTGCAAGATGGTCTAAAAGCGTTGGGAGCATCGTTGGAGGTAGTCAAGGGGGGGATTAGACGTATTTGGGGTAATGGACAACTTAGGAAAAAATGGCATGATTATTTGATAGAAAGAGGTGAGAGATATGTGGCTTTTCCAAAAGATTTGTCTATTCGTTGGAATAGTACCTATAAGTTAATTGGAGTTCTTCTTAGATATAAACAACATTTTCCTGCTTTTATGAAACAATATGATAACTATATTATAAACTCGGCTGAGATCGACACCTGTGAAAAAATTTGTAATGCTTTGATATATTTTAATAATGCAACTGAAACTTTTAGTCATGTTTATAAACCTACCTCAAACCTATTTATTCGTGAAGCTGTTAATCTCGACGGTGCTTTTTCAAATTTTGAGAATGCTGATTATGTGAGTTATTTTGCTGGTTTTATGAAGGAAAAGTTTTTAAAATATTATTCACATATTCCGCATATTTATGGTATTGCATTTGTTCTCGATCCTCGTTTTAGACTTGGTTCTTTAGAAGAATGTTTGAATTATTATTATGCTGCTTTTTTTTATCCATTGCCAATGTATGAGGACAACGGACAACCCAATTGATCCGAAAAAAGAATACAACGAGATTAGTGATATATTTTATGCATTATTCAATGAGTTTCATGCACAATATGGCAATGCGCCCCCTCCCCCGACACAAACATCATCTAAAGGAAAATCAATTTTCAAATCTACGTTTGCCAATCTTATTAAAAAAACAAAATCAACTCCCGCTACACAACAAAGCACAATTAATGAGATTTCTTTGTATTTAACTTATGATGTTGATTTTGAAGAAGATGATGATTTTGACGTACTAAACTGGTGGAAGAGAAAAGAAAGAATGTTCCCGGTTTTAGCAAAGATGACTAAGCACGTGCTATCAATGCCGGTTTCAACGGTTGCCGTGGAACAAGAATTTAGTTCGACCGACAATGTTCTAACACAAACCAGAACGAGGTTGAGCGCTGAATCTCTTGAGATGCTTATATGCTACCACGATTGGTTGAAAGCAACACGTAGAGCTCAAGAAATTGACATCACTCCATCCCAACACTTTATGGATGAATCTACAACAGAGAGTGGCTCTACCTATGCCGGAGATTCCGATTAAAAACAATTATAGTTCCTATTTAATTTTCAAATGTAGTTCCTATTTCATTTCAAATAAATGCACTTT